CGCCAACCTGCTGTGCGGAGATAGACAGAGAAACGACAGCTCTCTGTTACTCCACCATAGCCCGACCGTAACCGTGGGCCAGGACGTAACACATAATATAAGTATACAGCAATTTGGACACATATTTCATTATAAAGTAATACAAAGAAAGCAATATATTTTGTAAACTTTTTATGTGTTCTCTTTGCATAGTGCCAGAAATAATGCTGTATTCTTTGCGAGCCTGTATAGATCCATAGAGGCTCGTGCAAAAAAAAAACAAAAATCATTACTTACGTTCACAATCAGTTTCCACACTTTGCCATTTGTTTTCAATTATTTCATTCTCTGCAAGTAATATACATTTGACTGAATAAACAGAACCAGAATTTAAATTGTTGAAGTATCCGATCAAATATGTCATATTTTGAAACAGTCTATTCCATGACTGCGTAAAAATATAATCATTTTCTCCCTGTGGAAAATATATTAGAAAATGTATTAGAAAATTTTATTTCACTTGTTTGTTCCAAATACGTCAAACTATGACTTGAGTGATAAATTAGAAAGACATGGTTTGGTACTGATAACTTATCATCACAGACACACTTTTTTAAATATTTTGTTTTAAATATTTGTTCCAATTCTATTATAAAACAAAAGTAGTGTTACCGTAATAGCNAACGAATAAGTTATTTGTATTTTTTCATATTCCTCTTTCCACATTATAGAATGTTTAATTCGGATGCTTGTTGAAGTGATAGAGACAATTTCAGGTTCTGTGAGCTTATCTAAGCCTTAAAAATCAATATAACATCGTTTGTCTAACAGTTATTATAAGAATGACAGAAGTGTCTGACAACTATAATCATAGTAGTGTATCGTAAATCAGAAAAACTTCTACCATACCTATATGACACAATGGTGGCAGGTAAAATATTTTCAAGTTATTAACACATCCGTTGATACATTCTCCAGTTACTTTGTTACATTCAAAAGATTTGCATAAACCGCACTTGTTTGCACAATTATATCCATACCAATTGTCGTCACATACTGCAATTATATTTATAATAATATAAAAAGTAATAATATATATGTAATATAATAATATACATATTAATAATATACATTCTTACATATATGTATATTGCTATGACAAGTATATGTATATATATATACAAAGTGTCCCAGAATTGGTGTAACATCTCTCGTGAACAAATAGAAGGAGTAAAACTGAAGTGAAAAGTCCTATATCATTTTGCTAGATTCGCAATAGTTACCGAGATCTTAATTAACAAAGATCAGCGAATAAGCATGCATCGGGCTGTCTTACTCGCTTAAGACAGGCCAATGCGCTTCGCGCGCTTACGGGTTACCCGTAGGAGCATATGGNAGGAGCTAATATAACAGCATATACTATGACATATACATATTAAAATGTAATTGTGCAAAGCGCGCCGAGCTGTCCTACGCGCGTAAGACAGCCCGATGCACGCTTATTCGCAAATCTTTGTTAA